AAATGCAAGCATATGGTAAGATACTCCCGCTCGGGGATCATCGTTGATAGATGCATGAGGAATTTATTTCAAACGGCTCGTGCTATTGCCGTTACCGAGAAGTGATATGACCGGTGCCGGATCCTGTATATGTATATGTATATGTGTATATATATATATATGTATATATATATAAAACATATAATATTATATAATACACATATATATTCGATGAAAGAAAGACAGAGAAAAGCAGTACGACGATGCGCTTTGCTCGCAATGTACTTTCGAGCTACACATGTTTTTATCTCTTAGAAAGCTCTTAGAATCAAGTCCATGGATACATAATAGCGATCATTTTATAAATCCTATTCTTTCAAGATCGTTTGATGAAAAGATATCGAAATAAGATCGCGGGAATAAGAGAAATGTGTCGAAAAAATTGAAATTTTTGTGAATGGCATGTACTATGTATTCGCAAATAAATTTCGATTTTTTCGAAATTGATAGTATAGCGAATGGTTTTAGAAATTTGTATACACTTTGATCTCGACATATAATTTTCGGTGGGGAATCACGATGGGGAAGTGTGAGTTGTGATGGTAAATCGATAAGATTCGAAATGTACGAATGGCATTAATGAAAATTTTATTGAATCGAAAAACATCTATTCCTTTCCCTCCAATGTTTCGAGTAATCATTTATCTTAATTTTTGCGATATACTTTTATTACATTAACAAAGAAAAAAGAAATTATAATTTAAAATTTGATTCAAGAGTTTTCTATTTAGAGTTTTTATAATAAATGGTTTGTAATTATATCAAAAATACTAAATTTTCAAATTGTTATTTACAGTATTTTAAATTTAATTTTTTTCTTACGATACGCCATTGATTAATAAATTTTATTGATCTTTAGCACATAATATATAGAACTAATTTATCGACGGAGAAGCGATTTATTTATTCAATAGTAGGTAATATAAAGTGTCGATAACACGCATGACCGTAGGTATACAATCTTTACTTGAATATTTCTCTTTCACTTCTGACTGAAGATTACGAAATATGACATGATTTCGAATTACGAAAATGTAAATTATATTAAATTCTAATTATATATACATACATAACTATATATACATATATAATATAACATGATATAATCATATAACATATTATAACATAAATATTTATTTAATATATTGTTTAAATGAGTGTGCAAATCTTCGGTAATCATATAATCTGTATTTTCACTCGCTCTCAATCATGCCTTATCACTTTAACAAATTCTTTTAGACTACGTAACGCCAATTAATTTACATTAAAATTCTTAGCGAATTCCAAGGCGACATCCCTTGAATTCGGTCTCGCCGAGTGCTAACCTTGAGCTTGATCTTGAAAGTACTCTCCCCCCACATCGTGGATCATGCGTCGGAGGATAATCCATATTGAACGAGCCCTGACCTAACCTATTCTAGGCTATGTCTCTGTCCTCCCATACAGACAAAGCCTAGGAGAGGCTAAACCAAGTCACTCAGTTCTCTTTCCTCTGAATCTTCTCTTCTCATCTCTTTTTTTTGTCTTCGTCTGGTCCACTCTTTTTGCAGCCTCCTTCCCACGGTTAGTTTCCGCTTGCTTGTAGTTATCCTTACTATATAATAATCAAAATAAAATAATGCTTGAGTATATAACTTATATAGATAATTTTAATAAAT